GGGGGGGGGGGGGGGGAAATGGGTTTGGGTGTGGGGGGGGGGGGGGGGGGGGGGGGGGGGGGGGGGCAGGGAATCATGGTCCCCCCTTTCCAACTTTCGACAGCTAGAGGTGCCACTCGGGGGGTCGACTTCAAGGATACACAAAGAATTTCTTTTTTTTTAATTTACCTTGGGTTGGTTTGGGGGGTGTAATTTGGACCCCGGCCCCGGGCCCCCACGATGAAAAAAAAAAAAAAAAAAATCAAAGACAGGGCGGTCAAAATTGGGGGTGTTTGACTTTTTTTGGGGGGGGCAGGGACAGGGCATCATGGTCCCCCCTTTCCAAGTTTCAACAGCGCAGAGGTGCCACACTTCAAGGATACACAAAGATTTTTCTTTTTTTAATTTACATGGGGTTGGTTTGGGGGGTGTCATTTATAGGGGGGTTGGTGAAAGGGGGCTTCCCCGCCAGGAGGCTTGCCTCTCGGATGGGGGGATTTGGGGAAGAGAGGGTGGGTGTTTTACTTTCTGTCGGTTGTCGTTCGGGTTCAGGGTTCAGGGTTTAGTGGGGGGTTTCTTTTTGGGGGTGGCATTTTTTTTGGGGGGGAAAGGGGGTGGGGCATGGGAATATATCTGACTATGGGGCTTGGTCAATGTATCCCCCATGGCGGTGCCTGAGGGCGGCTGAGACCGCAACCTCACGGTCGCAGACGGCCAGGCAGAGGGGGGTGCATGGGTGGGGGTGGCGGCCTGGGGTTGTGCAACCCCAACCCTGCCCCCTAGCAGAAACAAAACTTAAAAAGAACGAATTTCCCCGGGGGCTGGGGGGGGTTGCTGGTCAAAAACATTTTTCAAAAGAAATATAATTTTTTTTTTTTTTGATCGATTGACTGATTGATTGATTGATTGGTGGGGTAGGGGTCGCCCTCCCCCCTACCGTCTCTCACACGCGCACACACACACACTAGCATGCATTCTTTTTTCACCTTTTTTTTTCTTTTCGGATCGATTGATTGATTGATTGGTGGGGGAGGGGTCCCCCCCTCTCTCCCCCCCTCTCTCCCCCCCCATCCCACACACACACACAATAGACTGGGCGTGGCGCTTTGCGCCATCGGTGCAGGCCCCAGACAAGACCGGGTCCATGTATCACCCGCGGCCACGGCCGCAGGGTCAAACTTGGCGGGCGGCCAGCCGCGGACAGTGGCCCCGAAGTCGCGCCCATGATTTTTATGGATCTTTCCCCGACGAAATAAACCCAAAATATATGTTCGCAGCCAGTAGGCTGCGTTTTGCGGTGCTGACGTTTGTCGTGTAGCGGGCGTTTGCCGTTTCGGGAATGTCGATGACAGGTAAGAGGGGTTTATAGGGCGTCGTGCGGTGCATGGGAAGGTGCTGTCGGGGGCAGGAGACGGACCGGTAGTGTGTGGGGTCGCGCTCCCGTGGAGAAGTCGGAGGACGGTCCGCAGGTGAGGGAGGTACCGTGGTGCCGGGCGTCGTCCATTTTCCTTTTCGGGCGGAGGCTTTTTTTGTGTGTGGGGGAGGAAAAAGGGCCCGCCGGCAGCTGTCTTTCGGAGTGGAAGGGTCGAAAACAGTCCCTGGAAAAAAAAAACGGCTGTGTATCTTTGGGTGTTTTTGCGAGAAGTTAATTTGCACATTAGTAGGGGACCGAGGCTGCATGGTCGGTCTCGAATACTGCAGACGCTCAACATCGACGTGCTGGAGTTCCTATCGCCTCTTGTGTCGCCTCTCTTGAAAACTCTCTCTCTCTCGCGTCTCTCTCTCTCGCGCGCGCGGGTGTGGGACAACCCGCCGCTTCGTCTCCGGTATTCCGGTATTCCCCACGCGTGGTCACGGATTGCCGTCCCGCCTCTCTCTCTCTCTCTGTGTGTGTGTGTGTGTGTGTGTGTGTGTGTGGGTGTGCGTGTGCGTGTGCGTGTGCGTGTGTGTGTGTGTGTGCGTGTGTGTGTGTGTGTGCGTGTGCGTGTGTGTGTCTCCCTCCCCCCAGTTGTCGGGAAGTCCGCACACCCGCCGCTGATGTCACTCGCTCAATTGGGAGAGGTAGGTAGTAGCATTTCAAGAGATCTCAGGAGGGGACACTACGGGAAATGGACTGCACTCTCATCTTGACAACGTTGCTTATCTTCATCAATGCTCCTATTTCGTTCACAGTCTTTTCTCCTCCTCCTCTTTCTGCTGTTTCTCCTCCCCCTCCTCCTCCTCCTCCTTTTTTCTCCGCATTCTCATCGGCTTACGGCCGTCTAGTAGTTCTCGTTCTTTTTCTAATTTCTTCATCTCCCCCTTCTCTCGAATACTCACATGTTGCTCGATTTACATCATCACTGAGAGAGAGAGAGAGAGAGCTTCCGACTCCCCTTTCCCTCCATCCCACGCGTGGATCCTGCCGGCCGACCCCGTATCGTTCCCCCACTGCAGCAGTGAGAGAGAGAGAGAGAGAGAGAGCTTCCGACTCCCCTTCCCTCCATCCGACGCGTGGATCCTGCGGGCCGACCCCGTAGCGTTCCCCCACTGCAGCAGTGAGAGAGAGAGAGAGAGAGAGAGAGAGAGAGAGANAGAGAGAGAGAGAGAGAGAGAGAGAGAGAGAGAGAGAGAGAGAGAGAGAGATGGACACAGAGGATCCGTTCGTTGATCGGCCTTCGGATCGGTGTTGAATCCTACATGGAGAACAGATCGTTATAATCACTCATGGAGGAGGAGGAAGACAAGGAGGAGGATGGGAAGGACTGAGAGAGGGGGAGGAGGACCGGAAGGAGGGCAAGAACTATAAGAAGGAGAGGGTGGCTAGAAGGAGGAGGAGGAAGGTTACATGAAGGGGAAAAGCACTACAACCAGAGTGAGAGGAGGAGGAAAAGGACGACGAGGAAAGGATGAAGAGAAAGATAAGGAAGAGGAGGATGGGGTGAGAAGGACTCGGGCAAGGAAGAGGAGAAGGTCTCGCTGATTTAG